TTCTCTTTGGATTGTTTAACAAATACCAATTAACAAACTTTTAATTTGACAACATTTTTCTCAATTCGCATTTTCATCAAAATATGCATCTAAATTCTTTTGCTTTTTCTTTGCACCCAAACCAAAATTAACTTCATCCCTAATTTTTTGCAATGTTCATATTATATTCTACGAATATTTATTATTTTTAAATAATTAGATCTATGTGTAGTGCTACGATTGTCATTACCACGTGGGCGGCTTAATTACTACTTAACTGAAAAATAAAAATTCTTCTTTAAAATTAAGAAAAAATATCTATATAATACTAAAGTTTATTTCAATTTTACACACAATTTTACCAATATTCACTAGAAATAATAATATGTTGATTTATTTCTTGAAATAATATATTTTTATTATTCATTAATTGATTTCCTTTAGAAACATAAAAAGAGTATTACATTTAAACGTTTTATTTTTGGATAAGAGTCATACCCGCCTTTCCCTTCGTTCATTTCTTAACAAACATTTTCTTGTCTTACTTTTTCCATTGAGATCCGATCATCTCTCTGTTGATGCCCCTCTTTCCATCACCCATTTTGATCAAATGGGCAGCTTAATTTTATAAACAAAATATTATTTTTGCCTGCAAAGACTAAATGAGCGCTTCTTCTCAACGCCCGGCGCAGCCAATGGGTCTCAGCAGCTTCAGAAACCCGGTCGCATGCTTGTTTATCACCATGTTAACAGTCTACGTACTTTACTCTTCCAAGCTCATTCTTCGTAAAGACGAATATCCCAAATGTTCTTTACAGACTTCAGACGTATCTGCGAAAGAAAATCTTCAAACGGTTCTTCCTCAGCCTGCCAACAGCTCTTCTGATGAAAGTAAGAAACAAGAGCAGCCGCCACCAGTGCAGCCTGTTATTATCCCTTATACGCCCCCAGAAAACGACACCGAGATTAAACACGTCGTTTTTGGGATTGCTGCATCGTCGAATTTGTGGGAGAAAAGGAAAGAGTACATAAAGCTATGGTGGAGACCCGAGGAGACTAGGGGGGTAGTATGGTTAGATGAAAGTGTGAATGCTAGTAAAGATGAAGTTAATTTGCCTGAGATTCGGATTTCTGGAGACACGTCAAAATTCCAGTATACAAATCGACAAGGTAAAAGATCAGCATTGAGGATTTCCAGGGTTGTCTCTGAGACATTAAGATTGGGAGTGAAAGATGTGAGGTGGTTTGTTATGGGGGATGATGACACAGTTTTTATTATAGAAAATGTGCTGAGAGTGCTTTCTAAATATGATCACAAACAGTTTTACTATATTGGAAGTTCTTCAGAAAGTCATATTCAGAACATATTTTTCTCATATGGAATGGCTTATGGTGGAGGGGGATTTGCCATAAGTTATCCATTGGCAAAAGAACTGGAGAAAATTCAGGATGGGTGCATACAAAGGTATCCTGCATTATATGGCAGTGATGATAGGATTCAGGCTTGCATGGCTGAGCTAGGGGTCCCACTTACCAAAGAAACTGGTTTTCATCAAGTAAGTCTAAAAGTTATTAAAGTCGAAGAACAAATTTTGTTTTAAGGTATATAACATATAACTGGAGTAGATAATACTATGTTTTTATCCATAATACTGTCTTGAGTGCATTTGAAAATGTTATAAGTCATGCATTTGGAAAGATTATTTCCCAAATATATGAATATGTTTGAGAGCCATTCTTAACAAATTTTTAGTAAAATTCTGACCGTTAGGCCGCCTATTTTGACCAAGCCAATCAGAATTTTGATATTGGAATCGATAATTACGGCTTCAACGGCTAGAATTTTGATTAAAATCAGGCAAGAATTGTGCCCAGACAAGCACTATATGTAAATTAGAAAAATGAAGACTTGAGGAAATAACACCCCAACTTAAAAGATTTGTCACAAAGGGATAGGCTCAAAAGACTTGCTAGGACGAATTTCTTCTGAGTGAGTTTGTAGGAGCTTTAAATCGAGTTTAGGGAAGGGATCCTATGTAGAGAAGCTTTAGATGGAATAGCAATGAAACGAACTGAATAAAGTATCTCCGTCTTAGAGCCCTCTGAGCATGTTTGGTTTGGCTTATAAAATCTAGAATTTCCATTTTACTTTTTCCGGCAGTGCCAAGAGTAACGGTCAGAGAAAGCCATTCTTTGGCCCTTTTTTTTTAGCATTTAAACTGTTACGAGTTAGTAGATGTAAG